CGATCTATTTTTCCATTTTGATTCAAAGGTAGTTTGTCAAGAATAATGAAGAAAGATGGAATCATATGTGGTGGAAGATGAGATTGACAATGTTGACGTAGTTGTTCTTCGTTCACATGAGAAGATTGAGCGTAAGCAATTAAATAATCATCTTTCCATTTAATAACAACACAAGCTGAAATAGATGTTCGAAGTAAGCACTGTTCGATTTCACCAAGTTCAATACGTTGTCCATGAAGTTTGATTTGATGATCTTTTCTTCCTTGATAATGAAGAAGACTATTGTTATCTATTCTAACAAGATCACCTGTTCGATAAAATAGTTCACCATCTATTTCAAGAAGAGCTTTTGCAGTTAAATCATCACGTCCAAGATAACCAGCAAAGACACCTAGTCCTCCCACTAGTAGTTCGCCTTCTTCCTGAATCATAACAGATTGCAAGAAGTGGTTTAGAGGTAAGCATATATAACGAGGTAGTGGTTTTCCCATTGGAATATCATACAGGTGAGAGACTACATCGATTAAGTGACATGTAGTTCCAAGTGTGGCTTCTGCTGGACCATAAAAATTCCAAATTCGACAGAATTTGGCAACAAACTGCATCAGTACTTCGACGAAAGCTGATGACACAGATTCACCTATGCCGATAAATTAATCAATATTTATTCTATTTCGGTTGCTCTTCTACAACTTACCGACACAGTTAATATTTTCGATGAGTATCCATGGAGGAAATCTGTTTTGTTTGAGGAAGTCACATAAACGATTGAGATAACTCGGAACCGCTACCAGATATGTCACTTGTTTGTCATGTAAAATATGGTTGATATATTGAAAATCCATATTACCTTGTGGATGTAGCATGGCTAGTGTTGCTCCACAGATTAGAGATCCTACAATTTCCTGTATATGCGCGTCAAACGTTGAACTAGCAATTTGAATCATGATATCCTCTTCGTGTAGTGCATCAATCCGAACAAAACCCAGTATTGAATTGATGAAATTCTGCTGTCTTAGTTGAACCTAAAGAATAACTTTTAGTGTTAAACATATATGATGTGAGAATCTTTCAATCGTACCGCTTTCGGAATACCAGATGAACCGCTAGTAAAAATAATATAGGCTATCTCTTCACCTCCCACTATTACACTTGAGCAACAGTTATTATCCATGCCACTGTTTATATTATTAACATTTAATATTGAATCAATATCAAGTGAAACAATGCCATTATCGAATTTGATTTTAGTTAAATGATGAACAAGAACAAGGCGACTTTCAGTTTGTTGTACAAGTGCATATAAACGATGTTGTGGATCTCGAGGTGATAATGGACAATAAACACCGCCAGTCATTTCAATTCCCATAATACCAATCACCTAATCAAAATCAATGTCAAACTCTCATCAATAGTTATTTCTCAGAATCAACTTACCATTGAC